TTTTTTTTTTTTTTTTTGTGTGTAAAAAAATAAAAATAAAAGTATGTCTGGGAGATCTTGTGCAGAGATATATAGCAAGACACACACACACACACTATATATGTTAACAAGGAACACAGATATGCATCATGTATACATATAAACGAACTCATACACATGATATGTGGACAAGAAACACATATGCACATACATGTGGATTCATAGAACATTCTCTATACATGACTCTCTCTCTCAATAAAATTTTCTGACACACTAAAAGCATTCAGATTCATATTTACAGGAATTACATTTATTCCTTAGGCCGGCACAAGTTTCTTCTTCTGACGTATTCCAACAATTTGGGTAAGACAAACTGTCAAGAAATGTTTGGTTAGACCAACTTTTGAATTTCTCTTTGAGGTTTCAAAATTCAATCTGCTTGCTTTCTTTCCTTATTCTACATTTTCTCATCAACCAAACGTAGTCACATCGCCATTACATAAAAACAATAATCAAGAATCAAACCTGACAGTGAAGTTCAAATAGTCGTAGTGATGAATCTCATCAGAACTCACCATAGTTGGATGGAGAGAGAGAGAGAGAGAGAGACGAAGGGCTATGATCAGGGATGCAAAGAACATCCAATGGCTACTGATGTGAACACCGAAGCTACTCTCTCTCTCTCTGTTCCTCTGTGTACTCTACACTTACATTGTTTGTGTGTTGGTAATGGTGGGAATCTGTATTTAACTTGGTCCTGCAGTCTCGGATCACATGAATGGGGTAGTTAAACTATGATGACCTCTTCAGATTTTAATTTTACCAAAAAGGACTTCACAGCTCTTCAAGACATTCTTTTTTTTTTTTTCTCATATTTATTTGTGTAATATTAAAAACTAAATTTTAAAAATAGACTTGATAATCTCAACCATTGAATAGGTAGTAGATTCCAATAAATGCTAGTACCTACCGTGAAATCAATAGTTATAATTATGAAGTCTATTTTTTAAGTTTATGTAATATTTCTCTTATTTGAGACTTAATCTAAAGATTTAATTTGGACTAGTCATTAAATCAGAAATGACTTTTAATATGGGTTAATCATAAAATACTCCCTTCAACTTTGGATAGTTTGTTATTCACCCTTTTAGATTTTAATTTCAATAATTAGTCCCCTTTAAATTTGAATATTTTATTAATTAACTCTAACTGCTAATTTTTTATTATACAAAATGATGTAAGTTACATTGTTGAAAAGACACAACTAACCTTGAAAAAAGTGTGTATTTTTGTGCGCGGGTTTGTGTGCACACGTGTTTTGGTGATGGGTGGTGGTGAAGATAGAGGCAAACATGGTATCTCAAGAAAAATAATATACAAAATAGAGTGTTTAATATTATTTTCATGTTTCGACCACTATTTCTGGTCAATTTAGTATGTTTGAAATTTGAAAGGGATAAATTACAATTTTTGAAACCATAAAGAACTGATTGCCATAAGAAATATAGTTAGAAGGGATAAATTATAATTAACTCTTTTAATTTCGGATGAGATTACTTTTTATCGGAGGGCCATAATCTAAGATCTCCAAATTAGACTCACCAATTAAGTATTGATGGTGTGTGTTGCACAATTGACGTTTGTTAGGAGTTAGAAAATCACTGGCAGACCTAATCAGAGCTCCTAGACTCTTTGATCAGTTGATTAGGAATCACATAAAGAAAATTTATAGTGGTTCACCAGCTCAAAAACTCGGCTAATCCACTTTCAAAAAAATCTCTTACTCTTAGGAAAGATTTTATCGACAAATGAGGAGATTACACAGAGTATTCATTCTGGCTAGTTGTCTGTGTTACATTGTGAGAGATATGCATATTATTTATAGCCTTCAAATGTCTTGCTTGATTTCGTGCCGTGATCATTGCCTCTTCTTTATAACAGATATGTCTGTTATGCAATTCCCATAGGTAGTGCTATGGTGGTTGCAACTCTCTTGCCTGAATAGAAGACCGTTGCGATTTATGCATAACGCTTTGGTGGATAACAGCTGTCATTCTCGTTGTCCCATCAACGGTATTGTTATACGGGAGAACTAACTTAAGTACCTCTGGTTACTCGTCATGAGTTGCGTGAGTCAAACGTAGATGGCTGAGCTGGGTGACCGAGCTTCCCCTTAGCCAAATTTAGAGTATCATCAACTACAAAAGAGTATTTTTCTCATTTTGTTACTCAACTTTATATATATATATATAAGTTTTTGCTTTCTGGACAAAAATATTGGATCAACAATTATGAATTCGCCCATTAAAGATGTGACTCCTCTTCAATTAGGAAATAATCGAATTATTCTTCAATTAGCATCAAATATTAAATTCAAAAATTTGGAATACCCAGTTTAAGGAACAGTTAGATGAGCGAAGTTGAATGCAAATTAGAGTAAAAGTTATTATTATTTTTTAATATAAAATAATAATAATATTGAATTAAATCAAGGACACGGCACATCAAAGTTGAGTGAGATAATAAAAAAATTAGAGATTTGAATAATTTTCAAAGTATTAGTCGATGACACTTCTAGTACATTGGTTGATTGAAAACTCCACCAAATATAACATTTATAATCTCTTGAGCAAAAAAAAATAAAAAAAAAAAAATATATATATATATATATATATATATATATATAT